TATTTGGCTTTTTCTGTATTTGTGAGACCTAACATGGGCCACGATGTGTGCATACGTAGGTTAGTGTACGTACATATTTCCTAGCTATGTCTACTAAACAGGCTTAGAAATATTAGCACCCCAATAGTGATTAGCATACCCAGTGACTAGACCTTGGTTTCTAAATACCAAACTAATAAGAGAACCAGATTTCCTTGAAAAAATAGCTGAACAGAGCATAAAGGAAAAACCTACACTACTCCTGCTTTAACACTACTACCATACTCACAGTTCTCCAACTGTGTGGGGGTTTCTCCCAGCAAACAGTTCTCTGTGACATCAGCTGGGTGTCCCTACAATTTAACTCAATTCTGACACTACTTGGAGAGTGTCGGGTTCTACCAGTTAAGAGTTCAGTCCTACAAGACTGCTTCTCACCAGATGCCAATCACAAGTCCAGGTTGTTACCTGTGCTTCTGACCAACTGGCTATCAATCAGAGGTTCCCACGACCCCCTCCTTGTGTTCAATTAGTTTGCTGGAGCAGCTTACGGAACTCAGGAAAGCAGTTTACTCTCTAGATTACCAATTTATTGTAAAAGGATATAATTGGGAATAGCCAGATGGAAGAGATGCATAGGGCAAGGTATGTGGTAAGGGGTGTAGTTTCCAGGCTCTCTCCAGGCACCTTTGTGTGGTCACCAACCCAGAAGCTCCCCGAACCCCATTCTTTGGGGATTTTGATGGAGGCTTTATCACATAGGCATGATAGATCATTAACTCAATTTCCAGCCCCCCTCTGGAGAAGGGGTGGGGGCAGGACTAAAAGTTCCAAGCTTTTGAACATAGCTTGGTTTTTCTGGTGACCAGCTCCCGTCCAGGAACAACCAACAGTCACCTCATTAGAACAAAAGACATTGCTATCAACAAGGAAATGGCTAAGGGATTAAGGAGCTCTGTGCCGGGAACCAAGGGCAGAGACCTATTTTTTTTTTTCCTGTTATCTCACGCAGGGATAATACAAGATGAGCCTGGCAAGTAGTGCCAGAAAGCAAGGCAGTGTTGCAAAAGCAAAAGGATGACGGTATGTGAAAGAGGAGTCAACTTGAAAAATCCCAATGGCCAAAGCTGAAACAATTTGGGCAGCAAAATTAGTAGCACAGTATTGGTCTAAAATAAATATATGTGACTGCATACTGAAAGAATTGAATAAATAAATGGAAAAGAGACAAATCTTCCTTAGAATAAATTAATAGTATAAATACTTTCCTAAGAAGTGGAACTTAATTCCCTTTACCTTGAGAGACTGGCTTCTAAAGAATAGGTGATGGAAAGGGAAAGTAGTATCAATAGATTCAGTGGAGAAACCTGTAGACTCACTTAACCGAGTGATCGAGGTTATCAGCAGTGATTGGTCATGTTATTGATAATACCATGTACCTCCTGATACATGACAAGAACAGCACTTGTAGTATTCTTTCCCAAAACAGTCTAATGAGGAAAACGTTAGGCAAACCTAAATTGAACTTATGCAAAATAAAAAATGTCAAGGTCATAAAAAGGATTAAGACTGAAAACTCACAGGTTGGTGGAGACATGACAACCAAATGGATCCTGGATAGGATCCTAGAACAAAAAAAAGGACATTAGTGGAAAAACTGGTAAAATCTGTAATTTAGTTAATAATAATGTGACAACGTTAGTGTTTTAGGTTTTTTTTTGTTTGTTTTTAACTTATTTATTTTTGGCTGTGTTGGGTCTTCGTTGCTGCGCACAGGCTTTCTCTAGTTGTGGTGAGCGGGGGCTACTCTTCGTTGCAGTGTGCACGGGCTTCTCATTGCGGTGGCTTCTCTTGTTGCAGAGCACTGGCTCTAGGCGCGCGGGCTTCAGTAGTTGTGGCACGAGGGCTCAGTATTTGGGGCTCACGGGCTCTAGAGCGCAGGCTCAGTAGTTGTGGTGCATGGGCTTAGTTGCTCTGCGGCATGTGGGATCTTCCCAGACCAGGGCTCGAACCCATGTCCCCTGCATTGGCAGACGGATTCTTAACCACTGTGCCACCAGGGAAGCCCAGTGTTTTAGTTTTGACAAATGCACCATGGTTATGGTGTTAACATAAGATGTTAACAGGGAGAAACAGCGGAGAACCCTACTATTGCATCTCTTACGTAAATTAAAATTATTCCAAGCTAAAAAGTTTAATAAATAACACGGGCCAATCTCTAACATATCAACACCATTCTCATTACCCACAAATTCTCAAGTATCATTTACAGTGGTTCCTTGACCACATGTGTAAGGTCTTTAGATATAATGAACTGTGAGCTGTATGGATAAAACTCAGAAAAATTTGCTAGCTTCTGCAGATTATGTCTAAAATCCTTGATTGTTTTGTTTGATGACTTGTCAGTATTTAACCCAGAGCAGCTGCTGACTCTGAAACCTCGCTTTCTTCGGGGATCCATTTTCACAATGCTGTTGCACTCAGATGTTGATTCTCCATCAGAGTTGAGCAGAGCTAGTTTCAGGAAAGCATTAATATACTATGCACTCCATACAATGTGTCCACACCTGAGGTCTTTTTTCTTCATATTCCATAAAAGAAAAAAAAACACTTTCCAAGTTTTTGTCCTCAGAGCACCCCCTTCTATGACCAAGTCTTGAAAAGTCACATTGCTTTATTTCCACCATACTCTTGGTTAAAATAGTCAAAAATTCTCCTAGTTTCAAGTGAAGGAGACACAAACCCCATCTTTCTAAAGGAGGGGTATCAAAAGTCTATCGTAAGAAGAGCATATGAGATGGGATAGATTGTTAAAATCGTCTTTGGGAAAATACAACCTGTCACATCTGGATTCGCCATTCGTAAGGTAGTTTCAAGAATCTACTGCCAAAGTGATCTTCCTTAAATGCAAATCTGATCCTGTTAACTTGCCAGCCAAAATTTTTCAGTAAGCCCCTCGTAAAGTCAAACAATTCTGCCACCTGGCCACACCAAACTTTGTGGCTCTCCGAACATGCCTCCCTGCCTTCAAGCTGCCTCCTCTAGCAAATGCTTACTCCTTTGATGGCTTTAGCTCAAGTGACACCTCTTCCTGGAGCCCCTTCTTAATCTCTTATCGCCTCCCCCCTGTTGATGATGCCTTTCTTTGGGTCACTACCAAACACCATCAAGCCTAGTGTTTGTGATACTTCATTGCACTTTTATCTCTTGACCAAAGTGTAATAACTTTGAGGGCAGGAACCATGGTGTATTCATTGCCTGGTTCATGGCAGGCCCTTAATAAATGCTTATTTGATGGATAAAAATTACCTTTATGTCAAATTTGGAGCTATGTGTGAAGCCTGAGAATCTAATTCAGTTCATAAAATTATATTACTAGGTACCTTTGTAATCGCTTATTCTATAGATTTATCAAACATTACCCGAAGAGTCAAGTAATTCTCTGACCATATTAGAAACCCTAATGTAAACCGCATATTTGCTAGGGGTTCTCATTGGTTTTGGATGGGTAACTTGAAATCATCTCAAAGAAAAAAATCTAAAAATATGTCTTTGCCCCCACCCCCCCCCCCCGCCAAAAAAAAGGGAGGGAGGAAAAGGAAGAGAAAAAATAGTAATAATAACCAGCTTTCCCTCCTAACTCTTTTAGTTCTCTCAAATAATCTTTAATTCATAGAATCAGACTTTTAGAACCTGAAGGAATCTCAGAGATCATCTAGGATAATACCCAAATTTTATAGTTGAGGACTTGAGGCATAAACAAGCTGAATTGTCCTAAGTCCGCTATATAGGATAAGAAATGGAAGTGGAACCCAGATACTTAAGTCTAGCCAAGCCACGAAGCCTAATCCCTTAGTTTTCAGTCCTGACAGTGCATTAGAATCACTGTGTGCTGCTTAAGCAGCATCTCAGGCTCCCTACCTGCTTTCTGACTTCATTTCCACCTCCCTAGCCAAAGCCCTATCACTCCAAGCCTGGCTTCTATGCTTCCAGTTTTCCCCTTCAATACAACTTCACCAGATGTTTCTTAAACCACTCCTCAGCCCTTAGAGCATAGAAGAATCAGCTGAGCTCTTGTTTCAAAGCTAACCCCTAGGCCCACTGTTGGCAATTCTGATTTAGGAGGTCTGGGGCAAGGCCTGATAATCTGCATATTTAACAAGCCCTGAGGGGGGATGATTTTGACGCAGAGGGTCCAAAGGTGACACCATGAGAAACCCTGCTCCAATAAAATAAATGTTAATCCTCTGACTAGGTATTCAAGGCCCTCTACCGTCAGCCTGTCCTCTTCAATCTTGCTTTTCACTTCTTCCCTACTTGCTGTGCTCCCAATGAAACATGTTCTACCTCAACCCCAATTCTTCCTCTTTCCTTTACTCATGTTATTCCTCTTCCTGGAAGTCTCCACTTCTTTACCACCTTCAATACATTCCTTCCTGTATAAATACTATACATTCTTCAAGCCCCATTTCGAAGTCTACTCCCCTGAAAAAAGCACAACTCTTCTTTCCCATACTGATTCCTCTTTATATGTCTATAGTGGTGAGTGTTATACCACATAATTTATTATTTATATACTGTCTTATTAGAGTTCTAAGTAAAGCCTGTCTTGATTGTGTGAGCTCTTAAGTAGCAAGTCCATGTCATACTTTTTTTTTTTTTGGCTGTGTTGGGTCTTCAGTGCTGCGCAGGCTTTCTCTAGCTGTGGTGAGCAGGGGCTACTCCGTTGCGGTGCGCGGGCCTCTCATCGCAGTGGCTTCTCTTGTTGCGGAGCACGAGCTCTAGGTGCGCGGGCATGTGGGATCTTTCCAGAGCAGGGATCGAACCCGTGTCCCCTGCATTGGCAGGCGGATTCTTAACCACTGCACCACCAAGGAAGTCCCTGTCACACTTTTTAAAATCACTAGAGCATCTAGAATCATAGGAACAAAATAGCTGCTTAATAAAATATATTTAACTGGGTTGGAGAACTCAATGGTTAAATCTAAGTTGTATTTATTTGTATTTTCATTTTACAGTAAAAAAAAAGTGAAGTAGAGTGTCTCATAAGAATTTTTCACTGCTTGGTGGAAAGAGCTGTTGTAAGACTTGATAACACTGGACTAGATCATAACACATTTCGAGCCATCCTGCACAGCATATTTGGAATGACTGATGATATGCTAATGAATAGGGGTAAGAAGTCATGGAGACTGAAATGGGCCAAGCTGAGATGACAAATATGTATATATTTATTTATATATATATGTTAATACCAGAATTAGAAAGACGATTCTGGTAGTGCTACCAATTTAAAACAGTAAATTTGATTTGATTGTGAGGATGGTTTTTAATATAAACTCACTCAGAATTTCATATTTCATAGCTATACCACTTTGAGAAAGAACCAGTAATGACCTAAATAAGCTAGCAGTATTGATTTTTTTAAAAAAGATAAGCTTGTGGTTTCAATTGTCTTTGGAGTCATATGCTGTGTAGACATGTAAATTATTTACTTCTTCAGCACAAAAAAAATGAGAATTACTCATTATATTGAAAAAAATCAATGAAACAATTTTGTTTTCAGAATAGGAAATTTAATGTGATCCAGTCAGTTTCACTAACAGATTTTTAGTGTTCAACTTGATATGTCTTGATGTATGTATACACCATTGAAACCATAACCATAATGAAAATAATTAATATATCCATCACCCCCAAAAGAGTCAATAATATTTTATAGGATAATTCTAAGATTTCACTGGTAATTTAAAAAATGTGTTATTTTGGTAATTTATCTTTAGGTATTATACAAATTCTTTACAACAGGATTTTGCCACACTTTAGAATAAAAATTATCACATTGATTATCTCTACTGTTGGTCTTTTTTTGCTGATAGTAACTGTACAAAACATCACAAGTGAAGCTCATAATTGACCATGGAGGAGAATGGCTTCTTTCTATAAAAATCTGTTGGAAATACATTTCCAGTAATTTTGACTCTTTCAAGAAAGATTGTGTCAAAAACTTTTTTCCCCCTCATTTTGGGAGGAAAGATTTTTTTAATCTCTTCATAATACTCTTGAATTATAAAATAGCTATAAATTACAATACACTTACACGTTCTTTTTCCTTCAGTATTTTTTGCATTTGACAAAGACATAACTACATAAATGTAAAAGAGTGTGTTAAAGGATTATCAGTGTTTCTTTGAGGGACTTTTGAAGAAAAGCTGAAGTGTAAGATTTCTATGTTATTATTAACTTAGTAATATATATTGTCAATTTTATATTAGTTAATCCTTATATTTATTTATTTTTGGCTGCGTTGGGTCTTCGTTGCTGCTCGTGGGCATTCTCTAGTTGTGCTGAGCAGGGGCCACTCTTCACTGTTGTACGTGGGTTTCTCATTGCGGTGGTCTCTCTTTGTTGCGGGGCATGGGCTCTAGGCACGTGGGCTTCAGTTGTGACACACGGGCTCAGTAGTTGTGGCTGGTGGGCTCTAGAGCACAGGCTCAGTAATTGTGGCGTGTCCCCTGCATTGGCAGGCGGACCCTCAACCACTGCGCCACCAGCGAAGCTCCTAAATATTTTTTTAATATAAATTCATTGTTCTCTATATCTCCCTTGCAAAAATAGTTCATGAGAGTTAAAAAAACAAAAACAAAACACAGATGAAATGGGTGGCCTATTTTATAGGAGAGTCCCTAGATCCGGAGTCTCCAAACACTTCCTTCACTAGTTCTGTAATACCCCAGTGTCACCAGGATGACTCTTCGGCTTAAGGCCCAGGCGAAGGACAGCAACTGAAGTTCAGGACATGTGCCAACTCTGATCAGCTGGCAAGGCTGAGGTTTCTGGGGCTGCCTCTGGGCTCAGCAGAAAATGGCCTTGAATATGGGGCAGCATATAGTTCACAGTGAGGCTATTCCTTGTCTTTCCATCAGAGAAAATGTGAGGGATTGACACAAAACACGATAAAACACACAACCCGCAGACACCAATACTCTAGTGTTAGACTAAAAAGAGAGGAAAGAAGGCTGAGACAGTGAAAGAGGAAAGAAGGCTGAGACAGTGAAAGCCCAGAGGAAGGAGGGTTATAAAGGGAGTTTCCTACAGAAAAGGACCAGGGATTCCAAAGACAAAGATCTCCCAGTTCACAATTTTGTAGGAACAGCTCTGGCCTCACCTCACCCTTTCCATTGATGTGACGTATATTATCTGTGTTTTACACCTCCTGTGCCAGGATTTGGGGTGTGAAACCCTGGAAAGAGAATAGGAACAATTTTAAGTAGCAGTTTTCAAGGGAGCAAATTGCTTAAAGTGTCAAATTACTTAAGAAAAGAATGCAGAGTTCTGAGTATATAAGGAAATTTTTTTCCCTTCTTGTTCTTCCACTTGAATTTGGATTTGGGATGTTCAAAAGATCTCTAAATTAAACACACATTTCAAAAATGATAGTAACATTTTAAAAACTCACCAACTTTATTTGACATTTATGACTTTTTTGTTTCTCTGTTTTGTGGGGGGGGTTCCTTTTTTTCTTTTCTTTTTTTTTTTGCTTTTTTAAAAAATTGAAGTATAATTGGCATACATTACATAATTCTTTTTTTTCTCCTTACAACATTATGTGCTTTTCTTCCCCCACTTTTCTCCAATCTAATTTTTCACGGGATAACACGTATATATAGTTGTCACTTAAGTTTCTTATAGTTGCAGTGTTCTTATACAAAAGTCTCACTGAGAAATGAAAAGTTAAGTTTCGTGGTTGTAAATTCTTGTGAAAGTGGTCGTGACATAATGCAGCTAGACATGATTGAATAGCATCACACTATCAAGAATTTTTTCCTCCTCTAATCCCACTTCCTAAAAATGTTTCATATACATTTCAAGATATGTTAATTTGGGGAAAATACTACTTCTAGTAGGGTTGTGTCACAAACTCATATATGCTATATATTGGAGAAATGCAACAAAAGACAGAATTAATCTGATGCTTTGGAATTTTATACCTGGTTTTTTTTCTCCCCCGCTTCGTCCCTTCCTATCTTTCTCCTGCTCCCTCTCCCTCCCTCCCTCCCTCCCTCCCTTCCTTCCTGTCCTAAAACGTTTAACTAGATTACAAACTCCACAAGAACTCCTTCACTGTTATATTCCCAGGACCTGAGTAAGGTCATCTGTGGGATGAATGAGTGAACTGTAATAGTGCTTACACAGTGCAATGGAAGTCATGGAAATCACTCTCTAGGGAGAGATGGATCATTTTGGATAATGCAGATGAGTAGACCCCAAGGAAATGACAGACTCACTACCCAAATATATTGAAAAATGTTCTTTGTCAATGATATAGTGAAGTGTACACACTAGTTTTTGCACTCTATGTAAGAAGGACATTATAACATTAAGGTACACACATATTTATATGTATATGTGTGTATATATATATATATATGCACTATATATGTATGTGTAAATTCTTTCTTTTCATATCCCCAGGGGTATTTAATCTTGTGGAAAGATTTATAAAATTCCTCCACTATGTAGAATATAGGTTGTATAAATTGTTTTTATCCTTCTTTAATTACATATTGAAATAACTAAGGAGAAGACTAATGACATTTTAACTGTTCTTACCAAGTCTTTAAATTTCGTATGCTTTAAAAAGTCTGTTTTGAAGTTTACTGTTTCAATGGTGATGGGTACATTTCTCGAGAGAAAACGTTTGACATGTTGAACAGTCTACACCAACAGTCACCTGAAGAAGAGACTGATGAAGGAATAAACGAGTTGGTGGATATAACACTGAAGAAAATGGTAAGAATAAAAAAAACTGTAATTCATTATATCTAATCAAATGGATGTTAGATAAAGCTAAAGATGAAGAAATGATTTATTTCCCTACATAATGAACATAACCATTGTGAGGGCAGGAGTTTGTTCTCTGCTCTATCCATTGCCTAGAACAGTGCCTGGCTGATAGTGGCTACTTAAAAAATATTTATGGAATGCCTGGGTGATTAAATGAATCACTACATTAAATGAATGTTAATTTTATTATTTTAAAATATTTTACTATCAGTAAAACCTCATTATTTGGGAAGTGGGGTGACAGATTCAGTTCTTTTAAAATTGGATGCAAATGTAGTCTGTCTTCATGACTTTTGCTCTCTAATCCATCTAAACACTCATTATACAGTAATAACATAATAATAAAAATAGTTGTCCCTTATAAATTGTTTACTATATGCCAAGCCCATCACAGAACTTTAATATATGAACTCATTTTATCCTCAGAACAACTCTATGAAGTTGAAATCATTATCTCTACTTTGCAGATGAGAAAACTGAAGTGCAGATAGGTTTATACAAGGTCATGATAGAAAATGAGGTGCAGAATTCATCTTTCAGTGAAACTAATAATACCTCTTTATTATGGACATAGTGATCTCTCTCTTTTTCTTACTGTGACCGTAAACTGGATACCAGTGAAGGTTTATGACTCTAAGGCGGCCCGGGCCCAGCTCACCTCCATTACTTTGGAGCTCAGGAAAGTAACAGATGATGAGGTCTGCCGAGTCTCAGATTCAGCTAACACAGACTTCAGGATGTCCTCTTCCATTAGAAATACTTAAGAGCCATGGCTAAGGCTGAGGGTAGACTTCTTGAGAGACAGTATGCTTCCCACTACCACACCCACCCCCTTCTTCTTTTGAAAGAAAGTTATGGAGTGAATCTTTTTCTGAAAATTATTCAAACCTTTCTTTAAACTAGACTCTCAGCAACCCTGATTTAGTTATGCCCAGAAGTGAAAAAACAAGGACCCATTAAATCAAATCCAAATTGGATTAAGCAGTTAAAGGTATTCATAATCTACACATATGCTCCCTCCATGATTTAATCTTCCATAGTCCCTGTCATGAATACTCCATTCCAGGCTGGTCTGTCTTCTTCCTGACTTGCATTCCTGCTTACTGTCATAATCCATGTTGGGCCATTCGTCTGCATTTCCTCCTGACACCTCTCCACCTATCTAGATCCCAAACATCCCTAACGGCCTAACAGTAATCTGCAAGCTTCTTCTCATGACCCTAGTCCATCTTGAATTGTTACTGTTCTCTCAGTGCCTTGCTCCTTATTAAGCAACTTCACTTTTATACTTTTTACATTATATCCTTATCTCAAGTAAGAGATCCTTTGAGAAACAAAGCTAAAAATTAAGCTTAAAAATCTTTGGCACTTATTTTATCACAAAAGTATTATAATGGGCTTCCTTTAATTTTCTGTCTTATTTCCCCAATTAGGGTATAAGTCCGTTAGGGACAGGGTTTTTATATGTCTAAGGTAATTCAGGTATCTTAGCCTGTTTGGGCTGCTGTAACAAAATATAGACTGGCTGGCTTAAACAACTGGAATTTATTTCTCACAATTCTAGAAACTGGGATGTCCAAGATTAAGGTGCCAGCAGATTCACTTCCTCACTGAGGGCTCTCTTCCTGCCTTGCTGACAGCCACCTCCTCAATGTGGCCTCACATGGCAGAGAGAGGGAGCTTTGGTCTTTCTCTACTCACAAAGACACTAATAACATGATGGGGCCCTATCTTCATGACCTCATCTAAATCTAATTTACCTCCTGAAGTCCCCTACCTCCAAATATCATCATATTGCAGGGGTTAGAGCTTTTAAGACATGAACTTGGGAGGTGGGGAGAGACAAACATTCAGTTCATACCAGGTATGCCTATTAGACTAATAGGAACAAAGTAAGTGGCCTCCATAAATTAGTACCTTTTGATTTGTGTAAGCAGTGCCTACAGAAGTGTGAACTTACAGTTTGACTTGGTAAAATCTTTTATTCTAGACAGTTATTTTCCATGCAAAATTTAAAACTATCATTTATCAAGAAATTATCTCCTCTCTAGGATTATGACAGTGATGGCAAGGTATCTTTTGCAGACTTTGAAAAAGCAATGAAAGAAGATGAACTTTTGTTGGAAGTGTTTGGACCATGTTTACCAGAAGCAAAGGTACAGTGCCAGCAGCCAAACTGGTTGAGGGAAAATTTCAAAGGATCAGAAAAGAAATACTTGCTAGACACTTACCTCTGTAGGACTTCAACACACTACTGAAGTTTGGGCAACCATGAAGATCTCAGCCCCATCCTAACAGTTGGGACCCAAGACAGTAGTGACTAATTATATTCAAGACCTTTTTTGAGCTTGTAACCACCTTAGCCATACACAATTCCTAATTTCCTGTAAATATTTTCCCCAAAAAAACCCGAGGTATATTGGCTTGCTTAAGGGATAGAACAGTAAATACAGAGTGGATTCAGCAAGTACCCACCATAAACTGCTAGGAGAAAACTTGATCTCTTTCTCTTCTTTATTGTCAAACAATGAGAATAAATTAAGCTTTTAAAATTTTGGACACGTATAGTACTTTATAGTATTTTATTTGTGCTCATGAAGGATTTTCGAGTATGAATGTGACAAAGGTTTTCTGAGCCAGAAGAGTCAGCCTGATAATTAATTTCACTTATTAACATTAACTTTTTTTTTTTTTGCGGTACGCAGGCCTCTCACTACTGTGGCCTCTCCCATTGCGGAGCGCAGGCTCAGCGGCCATGGCTCACCGGCCCAGCCGCTCCATGGCATGTGGGATCTTCCCGGACCGGGGCACAAACCCGCGTCCCCTGCATCAGCAGGCGGACTCTTAACCACTGCGCCACCAGGGAAGCCAACATTTCCTTTTTTAATTCTTCCTTTGACCAACTGTGCTTTGCAAACATGTGATGTAGGAAGAAACTTTTTATTCTCTGCAGTAATTTAGATGGTGATCTTGCGGATGAATTTGCATACTGTTAAGCTGTCCTTAGCCATCTCAGCTCATCTAACTTGTCCCGTTGTCGTTTATTCTCACATTTTAATTTTGTCTGGGAACCTGATGGGTGAAAGAGTTCAGAATAATGGACTGGATTGGAGTAATTACTTAGGTTCAGATGGAACACCAATGGTTCTTCAGCTGCTCCCCAAGTGTTCATCTGTAAGCCAGTTATCTAGAGCCTTACTATTCGAAGTGTAGTCTGTGTACCAGCTGCAATGGTATCACCTAGGAACTTGTGAGAAATGCAGAATCTTGGACCCCACCTCAAACCAGCTGAATCAGAGGTTTTGTTTTTGTTTTTGTTTTAAGTGCTTGACACAGAAAGGTTTATTTTTTCTCTCATTGTGGTCAAATTTTGTGTATGCTGGCAGGAACAAGGAGGGCTGGCCTTCACACAGTCACAGATCAGGAATCCACTCAAGAACACAGAACCCACTTAGGAGCTCCTCCCTTTAGGGCTATCAGAGAAATTTTTTTTTAATTGAAGTATAGTTGATTTACAATGTTGTGCTAATTTCTGCTGTATTGGGGTAAAATACACCTATCATAACATTTACCTTATTCTTTTTTTTTTTTTTTGCGGTACGTGGGCCTCTCACTGTTGTGGCCTCTCCGCTGCGGAGCACAGGCTCCGGACGCGCAGGCCCCGGACGCGCAGGCCCAGCCGCTCCGCGGCATGTAGGATCCTCCCGGACCGGGGCACGAACCCGTGTCCCCTGCATCGGCAGGCGGACTCTCAACCACTGCGCCACCAGGGAAGCCCAACATTTACCTTCTTAACCAATTTTATGTGTACAGTTCAGTAGTGTTAAGTACATTCATGCTATTGTGCAACCAATCTCGAGAACTCTTCTCATCTTGCACAACTGAAACTCTATACCCATTAAACAACTCCCAGTTTCGGCCACCCACCAGCCTCTGCCACCACCATCAGAGTGTGCATTTTAATAAGACAACAGGTGGAGATTCACAGCACCTTAAAATCTGAGAAGCCTGATCCAGAGAGAAACTTGCTTTTTCCAACTCTATGCTGAGGTGACTAATGTATTTTTTTAACTGAGAGTGCAGCAAAAAGTTTGGTTGACCCTCGAACAACACGGGTTCGAACTGTGAGGGTCCACTTGTATGTGGATTTCTTTTTCAATAAATACATACTACAGTACTGCATAATCCATGGTTGGTTGAATCTGAGGATACAAAACAGCAGATATGGAGGGCAGACTGTAAAGTTATATGTGGATTTTTGACTGTGTGGAGGGTCAGCAACCCTAACCCCGTGTTGTTCAAAGGTCAACTATATATCTAATTAATTACCTCACAAGGAGGTAGAGCCAGACAGACACCTTGCCTGCAGCTTCTTTTAATACCATCCACAACTAAGTGCCTTCCTAGCAAGTTTGAATCAGTAGGTCATAAATGAAGGTGGAACTTCCTAACCTTTATATTCAAATTCAATCCATTAGGCAAGAGGCCCTTAGGACAGGGAGAAAAACAGACACCATTTTGTATGGGCCTCCTTAGGTTATTGTTATCAGTAAAAAAAAAAAAAAAAAAAGGAAACAGCCTGGACATACTTGGATTTCCAATTATGTGATGCACTGCCAGGAAAAAAAAAAAATGTGGATGTGCTAAAAGTAGTGGTAATAAAAGTCTAGCATTTACAAATACTGATTTGTTTCTGCCATAGATGAAGTAAATTACTCTTTGAAGTTAACTAAAGCATATAAGCTTCTAATTTTAGCTTTGTTCTAATAGTTTAACTTTTTTGCTTTATAGAATTGTCTTGATTTTGAAGCCCTGGCATTCCAACACATCCTGACTTCTAGATTTTGAATGTGAGTTACTCAAAATTATTAAATTCAGAAACAGATCCTGGTTGCCTATATTTATATTATAAAGTTTCTATATTTGCTTCAGTTAATTTATATATAGTGATTGCAGTGTGAGAGGTAGTAAGAATGATTTCTGTAATATTAAGTATGGATCAAAATAACATCTATGATAAGTAATGATAAACTAATTAATTAATTTGTTTGTTAAGTTAACCAACAACCTTAGATTTGGGGGCACATATTGTGAATCAGCCATTCACAACCCTCTTTTCTCTTGCTTCCTCAACCACAGAAGTTGGAAACCCAAACATTCAACATTCTAGACTCCTCTATAAGGAACAGCCACGGGCCCAGTTCTAGCCAATAAGATGTAACTAAAGTCACTGGGTGGAACTTCTGGAAAAGTTTTAGTTTTTTTAAGGGACATAATTGGCTGGCATGTATTTTGTCCATGATAAACTAATTTTAAAAGATGAAACTATATGAGACAAGTAGGTTGAATGAAATTACAAAGAGGAGTGCATTAAAAAAAAATACCAGCAGTAAAATCTCTTTAAGAATTACAATGACAGCCTAAAAATAAAAAATAAATAGGCCTTTAAAAATATTAGTTTACTGCAGACAATTTATATTCTTCTTCTTTGTTTTAAAGGATGACTTCCACGCACACCTTCCAGCTTGTCCTCTGGAGACTTCGGCACAGATGAAATTACCTAGTTTAAAAAAAAGAGAACCACCAACACTATAATTTTTATAGTACAAGAGTAATAAACCATTAGAATAGGTAGGATATACATCCAGTAGTTTAATCTTTGCCATCACATTTAAGGCAGTTAGCCCAAGTTCAAGGTGCAGCCTACGATCTAGGCACAGAGCAAAGTTTTCTGTCCAAACATTGATGGGAGTAAAATTTCTAAAGCTATTTAACAAGAAAGAAATTTTGAGGGGAGAAAAGTAAACATATGCTCTACTTTAACATTCCTTTATAGATCTGTTATTTTATGATGAAGTCACTTGTAATTTTATAAATACAGATAGATACCCTGGTTATGCATAACTTGAAACACTTATAATATTTGATATATTTAGAGACATTGAGGCTCCAGTGGGGATGGGGGATGAAAAATTTAAAGAAATAAGCAGAAAATGCTAGAATCCTCAATTTCTTAGGGAAAAATGAAATCAAATACATCAGAACAACGTAGACAGTATAAGTTAAAGCACAGTAAGACAGTCTTCACTTAAAATGGAAAATTATTACAAACTGTATTTAGTGTTTCTCCTTTTTGTTGTTCTACTATTTCTATATCTAGGATTTGGACCTAACTCTTTTTTTCTGGAAAATACAGTCAGCTCTGTCTAAGATAGCTATGTATCTGTATCTATGTCTCAGTTTAGTTGTATCTGAAGGAAGGGTGCCAGTACAAGCAAAAAAATGTTTAAAGAGGCTTAAGCATAAAAACTGTGTCCGTGGATTTTTATTATTATAAAACAATTCCTCATCCTCAACTGGATAATTTTGAGGTTAAAAAAGGGTACATAAAGAATCTACCTTAGCCTCTCTTAATTACATTGTAAAATACATGTACAACTATGTGAAAAGCACTTTCTGAACCTGAGTTCAAGTATAAGAGAATGGTCTTTCTCCAGCAGATTATGATCTCTGAAAGGCTTGCCCCATGATAAGGTATTTTTCAAACGCTAACTCAAATGTTAACTTTCTTTTATTTGTGCTTAGAAAATGGAAAATGGTTATGTAAATAACATTAAAAAACTGCTACCTAAGTAGAACAATCTAGCTCTAAACTATTTAAGAAATTTAAAATTCAGACCTTAAGGCCTAATCTTTAGAAATCTCACCTTCCTTTATGGCTATCTGTATCAAAGAAGCAAAATAAGCATTTGAATTTTATGTAATTTGTAATTTTGAACTTGAGAAATAAATTGTAATAATTTTCCCTCAATGCAGTAGTTCTCTATGTTGGCTCATATTAGAACTATCTGGAGAGCTTTTAAAAAAGGGAGGGCCTGGGCTCCATTCTCACAGATTGATCTAACTGGCTAAAACTACTGCTTTTACATTTTCTACTTAGAGTGATATAAAATATGTTTAAAGCAAGGATTAAAGGTATCAAAGCAAATACATATCTGTGAGTCAAATTCAGTTATTGTACTTCAATAGAGAATTGTAGGAAACACATCTAAAAAGTAAAAATGAAAAAAACAAGAATGATAATACTGTAGTTCCCAGAAATAAGTCTCCATTCAGTTGTTAGTCCCGTAACCAAATCGTCTCTTAAAACATTTTTTTTTTTTAAATGATCTTACCTCTTTAAGTTTACTCCGAATTAAATTCGCTGTTGTATTCAACGAGTCATCATGCATGTCTACTTTAGGAATGTCTGGTAACTGAGGGCCAATCATAACCTCATTACTACTTGTGCTTGCTTCAAGAAGAGTTCCATGTTTACAATCATCTTCTCTTCTTCTTTTCCGCTCCTGCAGTTGTGTTGTCCTAGGCATAAATCTGTCAACTGCCTCTGAAGGAGTAATAGCCTTCTGTGCGCCAGGGAAGGCCAATGAATTTTTCAAAGTTTTCATCTGCATTTTCTGCAGAGAGTCATAGTGGTTACAATGCTCCAGTGTTTCATCATGGTTTCTACCATCCTGAGAGGAGTTTGATGCTCTGTCCACATGTTCTCCTGATGAACATGTACATTTGGGGGAGAAACAGCACAAAGGCAACTCACAAGAATAAGGAAGACAAAGATCTGAGTTCCCAGTAGATGTGTTCAAAGAGGCTGCAGGAAATCCAGAGGTCTTCGAATAGAAGTCCTGTCTAAAATCTTTTGTATCTTTATGCTTCTTTGTCATGTAATGAGCTTTATATTAGAATTTAAAAGGTGAGAGAAAGGGAAACAGAAATGGTTCATTTATTGTTTTCATCATTCAGAAACATGTACTTTTAAAAAGAAACATTACTTTAAGATGTTAATGAACACTACCCTAAAAAATTTACTTCTTGAGTAGGGAATACATTCACATGGTTTAAAAGCTAAAAAGGATATCTGTCCAGTATGTCTTACCTTTCTTCCTCCCACTTACCCCTCTTTTTCTCCTGTAATACCCATTTCTCTTAACCTTTCTGCTTTCCAGTTAACTCTAAATCTTGCAGAGTTTTTCCATGTCATTACATAGAAAACTTTATGGCTTCAAAGTATTTTACTATATGAATGTATGATGCTGCTTAGTTTGTATTTGTAGCTTTTAAAGGAGACAATACGCTGGGTCCGTATTTTATCATTTCTTTGGTCACACATACAGGTTTTCCTGAAGCTAGTTATTCACACAGGTTAAAGTTCAGCATCTACAACTGACCAGAGACTCCCAACAGCTCTCGCCAAAATTTTTGGTAAGTTTTACACTTTATTTCTCTCTTTACATTGCCACATGCCCCTTACTCAATCAGCCATAAACTCATCATATTTGATAGCTGTATGGACACTGTCTTTGTCTTTTAACCAAAGGGTGGAAATTTGGTAATTTGAGCCTCTGGAACTATTCAGATTTCAGACCACACACATTATCTTAGTCCAATTCTGACTGCTCTAGTTCTACAGTCCATGTGCCAGATCCTATGACTCCATTCCGTGCACTGGGAATTTGTGTCTAGGGCAACTTGGATGGGCATATTGGGCATCTGGCCAGCTGGTGTTCATCAAAAGTGGAACTTATCCACTTTTTGCTGTTGTAACTGGCCTGCACATCAGAGGTGTTTCTCACTGCCTTTTGGTCAAAGCCTTAATTCCTCAGCATGGACACAGGCTTTTCAGGCTTTACTTCCTGTCTCCTTTTCTCTTATCTCTCACTGAAGCTGTGTTGTGGTTATCATGTACTACTCACTGTTCCTTAAAATGCATGATGCTCATTTATTCCTCTGGCCCATCTTTCCATCTCTTCCTCTCCCCTTCCAAGTAATGTCTACTTACCCTTCAGAACTCAGCCACCTCTCTCATCCTTAGGAAGCCTTCCAATGAAACAACACCTCTCCCTTCCCAGCCCAGATTACACAGCATTCTGTAAAGAACCCTGTAGTCTACAGATATTGAAAATTGTGATCCTTTACTTGTCTGTTTTCTCACTAGACTGGGAACTCCATGATGATAAACGTAGCAAAATATCTGACACGTAGGAGGTGTTGTTTAGTAATAGGCTTTCCATACCTTTATTTTTAGTAGTTCTTGCTACATAAGCATTCCTCTCTTGTAATTTTTTTCTGGTTTCTTCAACTGTCTCAAATTCTGGAGCATAGCACACATGAAGCAATCCACCAAAGAAACTTTGTTCATCCATTTTTCTCTTGGCTATCCTAAACAGAAATACATATCATGGTTTACTAATCTAGATTTATTTAGGATGAAAGCTTAACTAGTATACAATACACTGATCTAAAGAGCAAAGTCCAGCTTTTGCTGTGTATATATATTCTATAGCTTGGGAATTAAGATGCTCTGCTTATGGATGGTATTGACCCTACTGATTCACTGCATACTCTCTTAGAGCCTTTCCTCCCCTCTCCCAAGAGTCTTAATAGGTTTTAACTAAGTCATCCACACAAGCGAGATTCCCTTTAACCAATATAGGGTCCAGCTTGTTGGTCTGAGGTACACAATCTGTGGTCATGAAATAGAGATTTTTCTCTGTGTTAAGTTAAATGGCGCTTGAGAGTTAGCTCATACCTAATTTAGCCTTTTCAGCACAATGTTTTCCTATAATGGAATTCATATGTAAGAAATTAGTTAAAAATATTATTATTGTAAACCTTCAATAATGGAGGAAATATTGAATATGTAACAAATAGTGAGAAAATAAGAGGATGATATTCATTCAACAAATACTTATTAAACATCTATGACGGGCTTCCCTGGTGGCACAGTGGTTGAGAATCTGCTTGCCAATGCAGGGGACAAGGGTTCAAGCCCTGGTCTGGGAGGATCCCACATGCTGCGGAGCAACTGGGCCCGTGAGCCACAACTACTGAGGCTGCGCATCTGGAGCCTGTGCTCTGCAACAAGAGAGGCCGCGATAGTGAGACGCCCGTGCACCGCGATGAAGAGTGGCCCCCGCTTGCCGCAACTAGAGAAAGCCCTCGCACAGAAACGAAGACCCAACACAGCAAAAATAAATAAATTAATTAATAAACTCCTACCCCCAACATCTTAAAAACAAAACAAAACAAACAAAAAAAAAATCTATGACTGGCCAGGAATTACTACAATAATTAAATACTTCTGTGCCCAGGGAAAATGATAAGAAATATTCATTGAGATTTTACCACGTACCAGGCAGTGTCCTAAATGCTTAAATGCTTCACTTGAATTAACACTTTACAACAATCTTATGATGAAACTAAGGCCTGGGGAGATTTATAACTTGGCCATACCCACATTGGTTTGTGGAGCTAGGATTCAAATCCAGATGTCACACTGCATGGTCTACTGTCCTAGGTGGTGTGGGAGATGTAAAAACTCCTTAGAATGAATGCACAATGAGAAAATATGCTTCCCTCACCATAAGGAGCTGGCAAGTTGGTTAGAGCAGTGAGATTATACATAAGAGCAACCGGACAACACTACATGACCCTGTGTACCCAAGTGTTATTTGTAGCACAGAAAAGAAAATAAGAATTTTAATAGCCATGGAAGGCTGGGTCTTGGAGTGTATTAGTGACAAGAATAGGAATCAACATAAAAAGAGATAAGGCATTTCACATTTCAGCCTTATTGGAGCAGAGAGTTTATTTTATATATAGAAGGATAGAAAAGATGGGGTCAATTCACATAGGTGCATAACAATAAGAAACTCAACAGCTAATCTTTTTTTAAGATTTTTTTGATGTGAACCATTTTAAAAGTCTTTATTGACTTTGTTACAATATCGCTTCTGTTTTATGTTTTGGTTTTTTGGCTGCGAGGCATGTGGGATCTTAGCTCCCCGACCAGGGATCGAACCTGCACCCCCTGCACTGGAAGGCGAAGTCTTAATCGCTGGACAGCCAGGGAAGTCCCTCAACGGCTAATGTTCTGAACAGAAGGCATTTGCTAATCCCTTTACGTGAATTATCTCATTTCATCCTCACACAACTTCAATAAGTAGATCCTTTTACCATATGGATTTTACAGAATACGAAAACAGGTTTAATGGGGTTGAATAACTTGTCCAAGGTCACAATGTTAGTAAGCAGTGGAACCTGAAAACTTACTCCAAACCCAATCTTTAATCTATCACACTACACGACAGAAAATTGTTAAGTATGGGAATGATCTATGGACAGAGTTTTGGTAAAGCTAACACTTAAAAAAACTGGAGAAAAATAATAACGGCCATGTTAGGTTATTGGGTAATTCAGGAATGAATGAGAGAGGCCAAAACGATACCAATGGGAATGGAGAAAGTGAGACACTGCTTAACTTGCATATTACCTTGCACTTTGTAAATTAAGAAATTTAATAAGGTAAACTTCTGTAAAGTCTTCTGCTGGGTATTCGTCCAGAGCATTATACTGTTCAATTGCACCATACAGAGCAAATCGCTCAACTAATTCCTTCATCGCTCCCACTGCAGGAACTCCTTGTATTAATAAGTACCGAGATTCCAAATTGACTGTATATACCTAAAAGAAATGCAGACACATTAAATGTATTTCACAAATAAGCCTAAGACAAATCTCCTATTAAAAAAAAATTGAAAACAAGAACTATTCTGTTCAGAGGGTCTGCAAAAAATAAAGAATCAAAAATTTGCCCCTCTCTCTGCATAAAGAATTCACCCTACGTGTGAAGGCCTCTAGCTAAAGCACCTAATAGACTACCTTCAATCGACACGTTTTCCATAAGTTAGCTCGGTAGATACGACAGGAAAGGGTTAACATAGTTATTGAGCCTTACCGTGTGACAAGGACTAGTGTAAACGCGGATGATACAATGACTAAAACACAGCCCTGTTTTCACGGAGCTGAAGTTCTAACAGTTGGCTAAAGAGATCGCAAGAATATCTGGTACCTGAGTACCAGCGTTCCTCACACATCTCCAGTGAGTGGATGTGACCGCAGCCTTTCAAGATTTTATTTACGTAGGCTAGGCATGTGAAGCTAGAGCTCACATAAAGCTACTGAGGACAGCGAATGAAACCAAAATCACTTTACCTTGACAGCGCGAGGCCGTCGCCCCTCCCGATACTTGGCCCGCGAGTCGCATACAGCCTTTTGGACGTGGTGGTCGAATACGCCTCCAAGCTCCCCGCCACTCGACGCCATCTTGCCGGTTTGGGCCCTCGCAGAGACGACAACATCCGCCTCGTTGCCCTCTTGTGTATCCAATAAGAGAGAGGGCTGGGTCAAGGCGTGCCGAGATTGGCTGAAGAATCGATAGCGTCAGCCATCGTTTCCTGTGAGCGAGAATTCGGTGAACGAGGTGCCGCCCCCCTGCGGCGCGGCGGAGAGGCCCGGAGAGCCGGAGCAGGCTCGCATGCCCCTCCCGCTACAGACGCTCGGCAGGGCTATGGGCGGGACTAGGGGCGGGGCCGATCGATCTTCTCCGGCTTCGACGTCGTCGGCCTGCCGGGTTAGCCCGGGTCGGCTAGGGTGAGCGGCCGTGGGAACAGTTCCTGTGGATGATGTGGGGCGGCGGTCGCCTGGCAGGTGCGGGGGATGACGGGGTGGTCGTGACCGTGGCCTTCACCAACGCTCGCGACTGCTTCCTCCATTTGTCGCGGCGCCTCGTGGCCCAGCTGCATCTGCTGCAGGTAACGCGCCTACCCCGGACGGGATTCCCGGCCCCGAGTCGAGGCACCTGGTGGGCCGTCTGCGGTCGGCCGGGACCCAGGTCTGTTAGGGACGCAGCGGCCGCTCAGGCCTCTCCCGGCGGCGGGACGCGGGCTGCTTTGCCCGGGCCGCCGAGCGGTTCAGAGGCCAGACTGTGGGCCGGTCTGGGCGGTCTTTGCAACCATACCACGTCTAGTGCAGCCCCGGGCCTTTGAGTTAACTTGCCGCATTCCAGGTCTTTTACTCGGTGAAACTGGGCTTTCAAACATCCTGATATTCTGCCACTGCGTTCAGCTATTCCTCACTCCAGGTTGGAAAAGCTTTTGAGAAGTCGGGTTTGTCTTTTTGGGTTTTGTTTTGTTTCATTTTTAAAGAGTGTTTTTTCCTACCAATGATTTCCAGGTGCCTGAACGGCTGTGGCCCGGGCCTCCAGAAGGAGGGGCAGCCTTGGTTTGTGGAGCCCCTGTAGGTTAACAGAGACTGAACCCTGTGTCCCACGAGCGGGATAGGTTAATAAGATGAAGGTTCTTCCAGCGTCTCCGTTACTCGGAACACCTCTGAGGTGTGCTGGGAATGTGCAGTGAGATTATGCATATTTGGACGTATGTAGTTAGGATTACTTGAACCTCTGCTTTCAGTTGCCGTCTGAACATTGTGATTGTGGTAGTTCACAGCTCTAACCACATCCCAACTTTCATTATTTTAAAATAGAGGCACCTGGCCTACGAGTTTGAGTGTGCTTCTGGGGGCAAAAGGATAGAATATTCGAAATCTTTGAAAATCCTGGATGCCTAGTACCCCACTACTGGCTAATCCTTGCGGGAAATATTTAAGAGTTTGCAATAATTTCAAATATCCCACCTTTCCATTTTAATAACTACTTTTCTAGATTATATTTGCCCCGTCTTTCAAAGCACGTTAATTTCAACAGATCCTGCTATTATTTGTTTTACCATAAAGTAGGTAGTCTCTTGGCCCTAATGAGCTCCCTTCATGGCAGGAGATGAGTTAGTTATGTCACCAGATCTCAGGTAGATCCTGCCTGCCCTGTGCTCTCAGTCAGCTTTGATGGAAATTGTCCACAGTGCCTTCAAATCTCCACCTAATGAGTTTATAGGAAACACTCCCCACCTAATGAGTTTATAGGATTGCTTCTTTACTTTAAAATGTGGATGCTGTGTTGCATTCATCACTATTTAAGAATTTAGTGGTCTTGAACTATTTAAAAAATTTTTAGCCTTCAATAAGTATTCATAGGCATTAATTCGTAGATATATTTTTGAAACTTAAATCCCTTTAGCCTTGGAACAAACTGTTGTTTCGGTCCAGCCTATATCAGCAGAATAGGCCAACTTTTCTCCCCAACTAGAAAAGTAATACATGTTTTATAGGAAATTTGGAAAGAATGGAAAATTATAAACAAGAAAATAAAGTTACCCATAATCCCCAAACCTAAAGATAACTAATGTTAACAGTTTGAATCAAACCTTCTAGTTTTGTTTCTAATCTCTATTTTTAACAGAAATGGAGTCCTACACACACCCTTATATGTGGTGTTGTATCCTGATATTTTACCTTAGAGTTATTATAAGTGTTTTATTTTGTTAAAAGGTAATTGTCACTTTCAGTGGCTAATTAGTACTCTGTCATAAGTTTGACATAATTTAATTGTTCACTGTGATGGAATGTTTATATTGTATTCCATTTTTAGACATTAAAAGTGATACTGTAATTATATTTTAATAAAAGTTAATAACATATCTTTGTTGTATAATATATAATAAAACATTGTTTTATTTTCTGGTTATTTAGGATAGGCTCCCAGAAGTATTGAGTTAGAGGGCATAGATAATTGTTAAAGTAGAAACTCATGAGTCGGGAGTTAATAGGTTGAATTATTTTACTTCAGCTGAAGCATTGAATACATAATACTATATTGGGTACTGTACCCAATAGAATACTGTAATGGGTAAAGAGTCAGAGTGATGATTTTCTGGCCTGTGTCAGATTTACCTTTTTTTCTTTCAGTTTTGAGATATAATTGGCATACAGCCCTGTGTAAGTTTAAAGTGTACAGCATAATGATTTGACTTACAGGCATCATGAAATGATGAGCACGATGTTTAGTGAACATCCATCATCTCATAGATAAAAAATTATAGAAGTAGAAAAAAATGTTTTCCTTGTGATGAGAACTCAGTGTTTACTCTCAACAAGTTTCATATATATTAATGCAACAGTGTTAATTGTATTTATCATGTTGCAAAAGGCTTTAAAAATACCGATGTTCTGGTTCTTCCTCAGTCCTACTGAATCAGAGTCTTGGGGAGTGGGCTTCAGGCATCTGTAGTTTTAGAAATATCTTTAGGCTACTTGGATGCACAAAAAGTTGAGACCCGTTGTTCTAGAATCACAGAATATTGATGGTGAAAGAGAACTTAGGTATCTAGGTCATTTCTGTACTTTCATGCATGAGGAAGCTGGCCAGTCCATTTCCACGCAGTTAATTTGCCCTCGTCTGTAACTCACCTGCATCATCAACACTTGCCTCCTCGCTGTTTCTTCCATAACCCAGCTTCCCACTTCTGTGCTCTTACTCAAGCTATTCTTCCCTAAAGCATTTTTCCTCATTCCATGCTTTTAAAAACAGCATAATTCTACCTCCTCCACGTAGTTTCAGATTCTCTGTTGCCCACATTTGTCTCCTTTTCAAAACTTCACTGCAGTGTTTATGTGACACAGCTCACTTGTTATATTCTGTTCTGTGTTTTAAGTATTGTCTTCTTTTGTTTATCCAAGTCCTGTTTCAGGACTGGGTACCCAGAGGATCCTTTAACTCAGGATTTCTTAACCTTGGCACTATTGACATTTTAGGCTGGGAAATTTCCTGTTGTGGGGGACTGCCTGGGTATTGTAGGATATTTAGCAGCATCTTTGGCCTCTACCCACTAGATGTCAGCAACACCCCTCCTCCTGGTCGTGACCAAAAATATCTGGAGACATTGTCAAATGTCTCCTGGGGGAGAAAATCACCCTCAGTTGAGAATCACTACTGTAACTCTCAGTTACTTTGTCTGCATTACTGAAACAGGGGAAAGGATTCATATCCACACTGAGAGCAACCAAATGAACCTAAATCACCCTCCAGAAATAGCCATTTTGTCATTTCCTTTGTGTTACCCAGGCCTCGGACCTGGCCGATCCTAAGGCACTGCAACCTATGGTTTCACCCAGCAATTCCCTTCAAGTGATATGGATACCATGGGTTTAGGCAGAAGCAGGTCAGTCATTTGTTGATTAGATTGAACTCCTGGAAAAGGGGCTCCTTTTTCTCTAGGCTGTCCTTTTCTTCTCTCTACCTGAGGACCCAGGGGCTCTGTGGTCCAAGTGAATGATTTTTGACGTAAAAATGAACTCAGAACATTAGTCTGCAAAGTTTATATCTGAACATATATTATGACTTTATGGGGCTGATTACTACCTTTTGACCAAATGAATAATTGAAGTATTTTTCATATTTAATGAAGTTGATTTTTCCCTTTTCCAGGGAGTTGGTGGGTTCTCCTTTTTGATATTTCAGGGCATATTTCCTATTTCCTTATTTAACATCTGTGGTTTTAAAAGTTTCTTCATATGAAATAGGGCAGCTGATCTGCCTTATATGTCAATGACTGATGAAACCCCGTAGAAAGTTTTTAGGGGATTGGTCACTTTGACTCTTATAATCTCAGCTCACATAGTTACAGCTGACCTAGTAACTTTGGACTTTGACTGCAAATCTGAGTCTCTTTCTACTGTATCACATTGTTCTCAGTGGAAAGATTTTGTCAGCCAGAGTGGTGGAACTGTCCTGTAAAGAATTGTAAGAAGGGCTTCCCTGGTGGCGCAGTGGTTAAGAATCCGCCTGCCAATGCAGGGACATGGGTTCGAGCCCTGGTCCGGGAAGATCCCACATGCCACGGAGCGACTAAGCCTGTGCACCACAACTACTGAGCCTGCACTCTAGAGCCTATGAGCCACAACTACTGAAGCCCATGCCCCGCAGCAAGAGAAGCCACTGCAATGAGAAGCCCACGCACCACAACGAAGAGTAGCTCCCGCTCACTACAACTAGAGAAAGCCCTTGCGCAGCAGCGAAGACCCAGTGCAGCCAAAAATAAATAAATTAAAAATATATAAATTATTTTAAAAAAGGATTAGCCAGAAATAGACTAACATGTTTGATATTCACATGGGAATATCAGTAATTCCTTTTTTCCCTTCCAGGTTTATATATTTCCCAAGGTTTCTTTAATAGGTTTGTAATTTTTAAATCATAGAAAACATTTTTTAATCCTTAAGCACAGGCATACATATTTTATATAATTGCTCTTAAGAAGAATAAATTTTATACTTTGCTTTTTTTTACTTATGTTTCCATAGTTCAAGACTTTTAAAAATTATTATTTAAGAAGCTGCATAATATAAAATTTCTGGAATGTACATAAGCTATTAACAGTAATTACCTC